ATTATTGTTACAATACCCCATCATTGACTATCTTTTCTGTTGTCGCAGCTAAACATGTTGTTCAAAGAAAGTTGTGTATGACGTTAATGAAATTGCTCTGGATGTTTGTTACAAATCAATTGACTATATCTCTTTTTTATCCAATGTAATAAGTGAAGTGTTTCATTGATATTCTCCATTCAGAAATAGAAAGTTGAAGCTTTGAATAAATTGATCATTGGGGAAAAAAATCGACTATATTACTTGTAGGACAAACTTAGCCCACATATGTGTTTGCACATTTAAAATTAGGTCACTGACGCTTCACCATACAGCTGTTTCGTTTTTCCAGGACTCATCGGTGATATCAGAGGCCAAAGGGTAGGAAATCCATGTTGGTCGTTACTACAGCTGAAACAGAGAGAAAGGGGCGTAAACACCCTCTGTAAGAAGAGAGCTGGTTAATTTCAAATTCATAATGAGTAAAGTGTGCTTATTGTGATCCTTACAGCTACTTGTAGGTCGTATAATTGAAACTGCCTATAGTAGCTGGAGTTGTTCCCCTTCTATAGTTGTTAAAGTCTCGACGTTTTAAGACCGATAACTTCCTTATCAAACTTGTTTCCCCCGAAACACGGTTACTTGTTGTTGAATGGCTGCTCACATTTTAACTATTATGTTTAAGTTTAGAGAGCTTCTGATTTGCATGATAAATGATTTCTCTTAATACTCCTTAAACAATGGAGGTGCTTCTGTAAAACTTATTTTGTTCCAGAATTCTGGTCTAGTTTGTTTGTTGGAAGTTTTTCTGATTAAGTATGCTGATTAAATGATTAATATTATTATTTCAGTAGTAATAAGTCCGCCTCGTGCATTTTATATCACATTCAGTATCAACAACAATATCCATGGCTACATCTATATAACGAGCACATACGATTGCACAGGGAAGGTGCGGTTAGCCTCCTCTCCACCTACTTTGATGGCTAACATTTTGTTCATTCTTTTTAATAACTTTACCTTTTTCATAGGGCCTCTTAATGTTCGTAGTCCCTCGGCAACTCAAGTGAATCTACCGGCCAAATTGAGCAGTTGTTACTGCTACTGCTCTCGTATACAACCAGACCATTGCCATTTAAACCAAACGTTGAACATTTTCTTATTTATGGTTTTCAACGCTTGAAGGGTTTTGTCCAACTAAAGGAGATTGTTTTGCGTCCGAATTATGATCATGGTATGATGATAAAGCTGTCATTTAGTGGGCAATATGTGCAACGACTAGGCTGAAACTTAACGGCAAATAATGGTATGGGTTTCGATGTAGAAAAACGTGTAATATCGTAGGACTGATGATGTAGAAAAGAGAATGAAAACATACTAATGATCCTTTACGTCATGCAATTCATTTTGTTGGCGGGCAACAGTTGTGAATCATACTGGCTTCGCTAGACAGAACTTCCCTTTAGCTCTTTCAGAATGACACTCTTTAATTGAACTATTCCGAGTGCCTTGTTTGATTCCTAACGGAATCACTTTGAAAAGGGGAATTCGTCTTGGTCTCAGGGTATCCGGTCGATTCTGTTTCATATACTTAATATTCTCAGATGATTTGGAGACGTGTGTGGCCATGACAAATGCATGATGAAATATAAGTGAACACAATGTAGGTAGATTTACGGGTTGTAGTAGGGAGACTAGATTTTAAGTAGGGATATTTTTCGCGGCAATACGATTCGATAGAAATAGTGTCCTCAAAGAAAAAAATATAGTCACTGTCACAATATAGTGAACTGTAAACTTAATGAAAATTCATCACAATTAATTTAAAGCAAAATCAAAGTAATACAAATAAGGCTTATTTTAAGTGTAAACAATACTTCATTCAATGCAAATACCCACCTACGTAACATTTCTATGGAGCGAGCAAATTTTGGTACACATATTATTATGTATGTCAAACCTCTTTTTTTACATGACTTCGGTAAATATATATTTTAGAAGTAGTGTCTCACTGTTTCGTAGTCCCTTAGCATCTCAGCTACCCAACTGAGATTGGTACTTATTTCCAAAACAATGAGTTTCAATACTTACTACTCTTAGGATAAATGCTACTTTTGCTTCGTATAGTTGTTTGTTAAATAATGGAAAATACGGAAAGGGGTACAGACTGGTAGTCTTTCTGAATATTTATAATCAACGTATGCTGATCCAATTTGTAGACCCCCGTTACACAAATGTTGATCATGCTTAAAGACATTTCTTGACTGTTTTTTATTTATTGGACAGTATTGCAGATATTTCCTTCAACCCAGAAGTAATACAAATCAAGTTACGGGTTTGCGTTAAGTATTTCAACATTCGTTAAAATATGTTAGATTAATGAATGAGTCCAACACGAATCTAGTAATGTTTTTTTTCTCTCGATTTCTCGGGGAAAATAGGTGGTCACACCAGCTACAATTAGTAGTAAAGCTTCTAAAGCTTTATCCTTCTCTGTCAGTACTCTCTTACACACTGCATTCGGTATGTTGGATATTGTTGGCAACCCTATTATAAGCCCAATCTACTTTTGTTAGAGACCTAATATTCGCCAATCCCAGATCTGTGGTTTATAAAATAAGGACTTTGATTTATCTTCCTTCTTTTGCATCACTGGTCTTTATAAGGAACGAGTTGTATTCTCTATAAAAACCAAACACTTTTAAACTCTTAACCACATTAAAACCATGTACAGATGGATTATAGTGCTTCACTGTGTAATAATTAACGTCGCAGCATCAGATAAATGTGGATTAAAAAATGCAACAGCATTTCTTGAAAACTTTGTGACTTCATCTGATATCTAAATTAGCATCCGGTTTTTTCTTCTATTTTCCCCACGACGAATATCATTTTATATCATGCTAAGATTAAACCACACCAGTGTTTGAGTAAATTAGTTTTGCAAACATTCAAGTACTTTTCATCAATATGATTGAGACTGATACAATAACAATATACATGAAGAAAAAACCCATAGAGATGGTGGTATATCATTATTATTCCGACTATGACTAACTGTGTACCACGTTAAGCCGATCTGTTTGTTTATATCTAAATATAGCTGGTTTTTATACAAGGAATGTAAGAATGCAGAAACTTACCCTATGTAGCTTTGGTAGCAGTGTACAGTAGAAATAGCATGACCCTGTAAACATAGGAAATGTTAAAGAGGTGTACAGACAAAGAGTTAATCCTATATAAAATCTACAACACACACATATTTTAATCAATGTAAACAAGGATTTTTCAATAGATTTGAGATTCGATTCGTGACAAGCATGTTTACTACATCAAAAATAAACCGCCAAATATGCAATAAAGCATGATATTTTAACCATACTCGTGTTCCTGCTTAGGTCATTTCTCGCAATTTTTCCTCATATTTTGTGCGCAGACTTTCCTTCCTGTAAAACTAACATTTGCTGATCAGACAACAAAATATGACCGAATTTGTAATATCTAAATAAAATAAAAAATCAATAAATAATAATGACATATAAAATATAAAGTCCCGTAGTCCACTTCCTGACGACGATACCATTTTAACCACTGGTTTTCTATTTTATCCTCATTTTATTTTGTTACTTCTCTGTCATACTACAGGGGTCGTCAGTTGAAGAAAAATACCCCAAATTGCCAAACGTACGTTACTATACACGGCTACCTTTGTCTTTGAATCATAAGAAGTTGGAGGACGACCTGAACATGATACAACATGTGCAATCTCCTCTTCCTCAGCTTCATATCTTTATAATTTACAATAAGTCGAATGGTTACTTCACTACCAGAAGTGACCACATTACTTCCGTTTTATTTCCTTTGCTCTATAGTAGCACGCTAGACTCACCTACTTAAAGTGTCAAGTCAAAGGTGATTCACTTCTCCGTAGCCTGTTCCTGGTATCAGGATTGCTTACTTTTTATTTTCGATTAATGTGTCTACTTTACAGTGGTTTTCTAAATAAAAAGCTTCTATTTCTACATTTAAGAAATATTGCGCCGTCTTTACCATCTGATTTTGGTATCCTACATATATTTCTTGATCCGACAGGAGACAGAGCGAGGGGTCCACAGGTGGCACCGGAACTATTTACCTGTCCGGATAACGTGGTTTTGCGAACTTCTAAAATGCATACTGTACCCTCATACAAGGAAGATTTATCTACTTATTGAAACATGCCGTATTTATTGGCATGTAATTAAACATGCATGCATCTGCAGATAGAATACTGTTTTAAAAAGGCATTGTTAAATCGATTAGACACAAATACTAGAATGTTGGTATGATAAGTCGCTATAGATGAAAATATCAATCAAAAAAGTTCTGAGAAATCATTTAAAAATAAGCTATGGCGATGTTTATACATGATGCATAAATTGATATTTGTAAGCATATCCTAGTGGTAGAAGCAGATTTTTAACGTCACCGATAACACATACCTACTTGACAGATATTGTCATTGAAAATTATATCGTTCGGACATAATAGAACCCCTGACTACTTAATTGCCCGCATGCGAGTTACAGTTGTGCTTTACGTCAATATAAGCTCTATGCAACGATCGAGGGTCCAATTGACTGCTTAAAACACACATGTAAATGAGCGTTTGACTTCCTATTTAGACATGACGGCTGTCAAAATAATGAATAAGCAGTAGGCTTTCTATAGAGTAGATTTGATACACCATATCGACAATATTCCAGTGCCTGGTGCGATTTCTATGCGTTAATTATGACGGAAGAATTCCGAGGTATTGAATATCCTGATAAACGCGACCCTTTGTGATCGCCTGTCGGTTTGTGAATAGCATGACATGATATACAATATGTGTTATTATAGGGGGATGGACGATCATGCCAAATTTATGTTTAGATGAGCACGGAACCATTGTCCGCGCCGTGTGTCGTATGCTGTACATTTATCCAAACACCCGTCATTTAAATTACCCGAATATTATTGATTATAGATACTAAAGCTATCGGTATTGCTGCAGAGTTGTCCTATACATTGCCTTTCCATGTGTGTTGTACACATTTAGCAATGGTCTGTCCGGTGGGCAATAGGATCATTGTTGCAATCAGTGTTACTTTTATTTTACAATTAGCGGGGCTGTGTCTCCCTAACTGGGTGACGTCAGACTCCGGTGGGGAGTATGGAGGATTATTTGCCTATTGTGTAGGACCGACCTGTGATTCACTACCTCTGATATTTCACATGGATAACGGTAGGTGTTCCTTGTGTTTGTTGATGAAGGGAATGACAATGGCATGAATAGGACAAAACAGTTTCATTGTGATAATCATATATCTGTTGAAATACATCATATTTTGCATTTCATAAAATACAACCGACAGACTAGTATGTTATTTTGTAAGTAAAGAGTAAACAACTCTCCGTAGAATTTATTGATTACTTACATTCACGGAACACGTATCAAAAGCATGACACAGGTTATTTAAATACCAGTATGTAAGAGTTGCTCACTAAACCTTTAAGAGAAAACTTAATGGCATTCTAAACGATAGTGTATTAAAATAGCACATGCTTATTTATTACGTTGCCTTTTACTTTTACTCACAGTACTGTATGTTCTTGGGGGGGAAAAGCATTTAATTGATTTTTATCAAGTGAAGACAGTCGTGATAAACCTCTAACTAATCCATTCATGGTGCATGCTTTGCTATCCTTAATGCATATACCGACTTTATAACGCTTTGTGAACATTATCTAATGAAGTATCGTTGTTACATCGTCACCAAATGCTATACCTTTAACTTGTTTTCCATGTCTGCTAATGACATTCCATTTATATTTGCGATGGACCAAATATGAAGAGACTGCAATATTGATCAAAGTAGATTGAAAAATGCAGTAGTCCTTGGTTTCATGTTTACTGAGATGGCACGCCACCTCTTGAAGTCAAAATGTAAGAAAGTATATCTTGGTTAAACTATATGACTCTAACTAGGTATTAGTTATCCAATGATCGTTGTATTATACTTTAGGTAGGGGTACTGGAAGATTGACTCTAACTAGGTATTAGTTAACCAATGATCGTTGTATTATACTTTAGGTAGGGGAACTGGAAGATTGACTCTAACTAGATATTAGTTAACCAATGATCGTTGTATCATACTTTAGGTAGGGGTACTGGAAGACGTCCACACACTGACGTGGGCATGTTTGTATATAACCCCACATTTTCCTGGCAGAAACATCCATATTTTTGCTCATATATTCAGTATAAAAAGACGCTTGTTAATCTATAATTGAATGTCCATTCGATCTGTTGGAAAGTTGACATCTATTAAATGTTTTTGTTACAGCGGATTATGGAGGAGTTGTTTCCCTTCACCTAGTAGGCACGGGCTTGTTATTGATCACCGTGTTTGTCGGCTCTATCCTGGCCTGGAGGTCAGGCTGGACAAAGGTCACTTTCCTCGTCATGTCCGGATTCCTCTTCACAGCAGGTACTTGTTAACATCAACCTGGAAATAAATATTGGGTTTATTAAACAATAATGTGTAATCTTTTTCTAGTGTATGTTTGTATTGCCTCTTTATTTAGTTTTACTTGTTAGGATTTATAATGTATTAGTCTTATTCAATGTTATATTAATTTTTGTCAACAAGAAATCACATACAGACATTTATATCGTACATCTCGTAAACGTAAATCAACATCATGATATATATATAAGAGTTTGTTGAAACCTTTTGAGTAAATGGTTAATCATATTCCAGTATCAACTTAACTTAACATAGAAGAAGAAAAATTGTAGCAGTTCATTTAGTTGAATATAGAGCATTATGTTACCCTTATGTTTCTCCTAATTTTTATACAATTTGTTCATATTTATACCTTTTTTGACATTTTTTTACTTTTCCGAAAGTTGATAGAAAATAACGATGTTCAATTGTATTCAATTTGATATTTATCCTATTCTGTATATTATAAAGTTGTATAAGAAAAATACGTACTGTAGAAGGTATCGAATATCCTAGTATAAAACTTGCAGATAGGAAAATCTATACTTTTTATAAGACACATGATAAATGTAATGATAGATAGTTAAGGTTGAACATAAACTTATTTCATATTTCTGTATCTGCATGTGTTCCTGTTTCAGCCACCTGTATTTGCTGTGGAGTAACCTGGTTTGTGTTGAACTTTTCAAGGGAGGGAAATATGTATTTAATGTTTACAAAGGAAAATGTACTTATCTCCAATAGAAAAATGATGACGAGTCCAAGACTCAGTTTTGCCTTGTTCATGTGTGCTGTCAGTGGGTTAATGAGCCTCGTTTTGGGTGTCGTCACACACACCGTCGGCAAAGCGAAACCAAGGACAACTACCGTCAAGTACGGTAGCCGTATCTTTCATCTAGAACGGTTAGACCACGTGTGTTCACCAGATCGAAATACACGACATGTTTTAAAGTCACATGCAAGAACTGGTATATTGGTGGAAGCAAGACATTTATTAAGTAAAAAGAAATTGTTTATTCATGTAAATAGATTGGATGATAGGAACGCTGTTACATGATTCCTTGTAAACGGAAATGTGTGCTGAATGGAATAATGCATACTTCTCGTAAATGTTGAATGCATTCTTTTGATATTCTTGTTGAAAATGTGTTCATGTATCCAGGAATATGAATGAAATTCAAACGAAATTCGATGGATTGTTTAATGCATAACATAAAAGCAGGAATTTGTTGAAAACATGAAAAGTCCAGTTGATATATACAGGTGTGTGATGACCTAATGTGGTAATGTTTTACTCCTCCTACAATCGTTGTTAAAGAACTAGTTACACACATGTATGCCAGTCAATAACATTCAAATTCAAATTCCCCGACGAATGAGTTGTGAAACACAATCCAAGGCCACCCTGGCAACTAACTGACCATAGTTAACCATGATTAATGTTCAAATGCATATACATATGTTGACCTCAATTGTTTAGCCATGGTAATAGCATGGTTAGATCAAAGTGTATGGGTGGTTTGAACATGTTTGTTGTAACCATGTTTGACAACTGATTTGTTTATTTGCATGTCATTTAACGTCCTCGCAACAGCCAGGGCTATATGAAGACGAGGCTGGCCACTAACGAAAAATGTCTAACCACGGTTAATTGAGGTGCATATAATGTTCTGTGAAGCTACCCTGAATGGTTTTTAAGAAATGATATATATTGCATTTTTTGCTATTTGCTTCTGTGGCTAATGGAAACCATAAAGAAATAAAACCGATAGCTAAAGGCAAATCTAGACTATTAAAATTAAATGCGAATACAATTTCATGAAGTTATATTTATAATTTTCGAGATATACTCTAGAAACGATGATTTGCATATTTGGCCTTCTATTATCATTATATCAGGACAAATCTTAAAAATCAAAACAAAAACTTTCCAAAATTGAAATGCACTTCTCAAATACTGGAATGATGTGCATACAAACTTTCAAAGACAAATTCTACTGAATTTGAATACATGTTTTAATAACAAGAAATAGAACAGCCAGCACCCGCCGTCTTTATTATGTTACAGCTGTGACGAAAACAACACTATGAAATTGTATACAATTTTCAATAAAATCTTAAAACACTATGTAAATTCTGTAAATATCAACGTCGTAAAGAGGCAAGTACTTATGGGATATATAAAATGCGCAGTGTTCCTCCTATTATGTAAATCCTTTAAATACCAACGTCGTAAAGAGGCAAGTACTTATGGGATATATAAAATGCGCAGTGTTTCTCCCATTTAAGTGTTTTTGTCATCTGTCATTTCCGATCACACAAAGGTTTCCATCCACCCTCTTCAGCTTACCACTTTTGAAACTGGTGTTTGAACTCGTCCTGTACATGATGCGGTTGTTTTCAATTAGCCGTATATACGCCCGGGCTTTACTTCCTTCATTTGTTGGACGAATTTGAATTATTAAATTATTATCAATGAATAAAGTAAATCTTTAAATCACAAGCAGACGTTTCAAATTGAAATGCATTTGCAAACACTATGCTACTAGAAAAAGTTAACACGGTATTTCTACCCATTCGGGTAGTCCGCCTGTGTATTGATTCCATGATCAAAACGTCAGCCTCGCTAGCCTGTAAGCTTTGTATGTGCCTGGTGAGTGAAAATCAAGCATACCTTGTTTGGCCACTCCTAAATATATGCCAATTTCTTTATTTGCACTTTGTGTTGTAGTTATATTGAAGTATCCAATGTATTTTGAAAATAGAAATATTTCCCATCATATATCTTTACTTCGCAGTTCAAATACAGTAGTTTACACGAGACGCACGTGTTTTTACCGGAGCAACTAAAACATTCCATCCTAAATATTGTTAAAACATTATTTAACGATGTGTTCAGTGTTTTAGTGATTATTCGTTCATTTTTGCTATGTATCCATGTGATACAATACCCAAATTTAACACAAGATAATGGAAAGCCAGTACGATATGCTCGAGGAAACAAGGATTACTTTTAGTATGCAATTATTCGGAACAAACACCAGGAACATTTGCACTTTATTACACTGTCATTCTGTGTCACCGAGTTTATATTTCAAAATCCGATGATGACACTTTATAAATATATATGTAATTCACTCAGAATGTTATGCTACACGCCACGCATGAATTATGTTATTATGTGTGTTCGCTAATAAGAAATTACACATTATAAGTACATCAGCATTGCAGTTTGAGTTATCCATCTTGTTGCTAGACATTTTGATTTAATTCATCACTGTCGAAGCAAATCAAATAATCAATACACGTGTGCCTAAAAACTACATTATATCATGTTGATGCTTTTCTATAAGTTTTATCATAAAATGAAGAGTAGCCAGTACGCTTTCGACTTGAATGACAAAGAAGATAAAGTTGAAAATAAGTGTCATTTAGTCTGACATTTATCTGTTCATCTGTGAAAAATAGTTCTGCATATCTTGTTGTTAAATGCCTGATTGGAATGTATCTCTGATTAACATTGGTAATGTCTTTTCGTTTTATTCTACACTTATTTGTCTTTTAATGCATTTTTTTAAGATCTTAACGAATGCATGCATGTTAAAAACAAGACAAATGTACTGTTGTTGAATACTTACTGGAGTATAGAAATAAGTAGGGAAATACAAATAGTACAGGGATTTATATCTATAAATCTTTAATGATAGTAGCCCAAGCATCTAAGCTGGAACACTTACTGAAGGTATAGAAATAAGTAGGGATTTAAAAATATTACAGGGATTTATATCTATAAATCTTTAATGATAGTAGCCCAAGCATCCAAGCTGGAACACTTACTGGAAATATAGAAATAAGTAGGGAAATTAAAATATTACAGGGATTTATATCTATAAATCTTTAATGATAGTAGCCCAAGCATCCAAGCTGGAACACTTACTGGAAATATATAAATAAGTAGGGAAATAAAAATATTACAGGGATATAAATCTATAACAATGATGATACCATGACTTTAATATCACCTCTGTTTCAATGGTGTGTTTTCGTTTGGTTCAACATTCTTCAGTGTAGCAAACTATCTAAACACTGCAGCGTCAGTTGTGTATGTCGTACACGTTCCACTAGTCATAAACACTCATACAATGACGTATCTACATCGTATTTATTTATTTTCTCCATTTTACCATTCAAACCAACACAAATGATTGAAAACAATGATTAGTTGAAATAGGATACAATCTAAAACAGAGAAAGCCGTGCAATATCGATACCACGAGATAACGAATGTTGGTTATGCAATACATTGTTTGAGCAGTTATATTAAAGAAATATTTCTACAGAAATACAAGTGGTAAAAATAAAAAATAAAATTATTAAAAGCAATTCTTATACATTATAAAGTTAGTAAGCAACGTGTGTTTTACAGTGTAATAGGAAATATAATTTGCAGAGGCATCATCCGGTGTTCTTGAAGGGACTTTTGTCCTCTCCTTTTCACGTATGAAACCTGTTAAGATGTCTCCTGAAGAATTCAGACTTAAAGGCCCATCACTAAATTACCAAGGACATGCATTTCATAACTTATTACTAATCCTTTGTAATCAGGTCATGATGGCGACAGTACGATTTCTTAAGCGTATATTTAAGACGGTTATGTAGAAACCCTGACTAACTAAGGTAAATTAATACACAAAAATAATCGTGTAGAAAAAGAAGAAATGTGGTTGGTCAGTCCAAACGAAAATGATTTAAACTTTCTGTATCTCAAAAGTTTTAAATTGTGTTATATATTATATTCTATTCTAAAACCAATATTCATTTATATACAAAACAAGCAATGATAAAAAAACATTTGAGCAGGTACTGAAATACAATGTATGCATAAATTATGACAATAAATAGTACATGTAGGTTAATCTCGAGTCTCAAAATGTGATTTATATGGAAATTAAACAAAAGTAAGTAAGAATTTACCTAACAAGAGCGAAACACTTGTGTAAGAATCTTGTAGAAAATGCAGAAGCAAAACAATTGAATTGTATATTGTATTATAGTGTATGCACTTAATTAAGGCAAGGGATATCATGTATAAGATACAGAAAGATAATAAAAATAACCAAAGAAAAAAAAACCCACCTAAGTTTAACAAATGGTTCAACTTTAGGCATCAATCTTTAAAATCTTGACATTAAGAACAGGTCCGGAAGTAACACGATATCTACGACATGTAAACGAAACTCGCTTTTTAACTATCAAATTACTATTTGAGTTTCTAGTAGTGAGGTGACCATTATGATTGTATAGCTAAGTGATATATACGCCCTTAATTTATTCCAAATACATATTTCAATACATAGCATTCGAACGTATGTAATATAAGCTTGAAATGAAATTGAAATTGTAACTATGTACATAACTATAAGTCAGACTCCAGTTTTGTTAAACAGTGTTGGCATATGCTGTGTGTTTATACTTTGGTAGAACTTCTATTGAAATGGCATCAAGCAATTGGTCGCCTGTACTTTTACATTATTTGAAAAGAACAGAACTTTGTTAAAATGTTCAAAAATAGCCAGATTAACCATTATTTGTATATTTAAAATGTGACGAACATTAGAAAATGCACTTGTATTTGTCCTTTGACTAATCAACACTGTCACTGTAGGGATAAAAGACAGGTTTAGTACACTGTAAATCAACAAGAATTGGGTGCTCCGCCAAATATGTGTGATGCGTGTACATTTGCATTTATAAATCAAGAAGCCAAACCGACCGATTGTAAGGCATAGATAAGCGCCCGATTCACTTTCGTGTTGCTATCAGAAAGCACGTGTTTATTGCGCGGACGAATATAGTCACGAGCGCACGGAGCGCACGAGTGAATATATACGTCCGCTCAATAAATTATTGTTTTGTGATTCGTTAGAAAAAACACAAGTCTGTGGTTTTGCTTTTTATCACAAACCTTCCATGTTTGGTAGAGATCGATTATTTTATTTTATAAACTTTGATATTTTTTGCAAAAACCGGGAACCTTTCTGTTTGCCATGACAAGGGGATTCCCATAAAAAGTAGTTCCGGCTAGTAGGTAATTACAACATTCCGTATTGCATATGTGCAATACAGAACGTTGAATTTCATGGTCTGAAAATTGCTTGTATTACTATAATAAGATTCAACAGGTATGCGATAAAAAATGATGCATATTGTACAATGGCATAAGTGATAACAATACAGTATATCACAATAAAAAACTCATTAATCATGCAGTATGACAGAATGGCACTCATCGTAAACATATCGACAACATTGAAATACAGCAAAATCGTAAGGTATGATACAGTGAAATCATAACCATTGTTTATTACAATGATAATAATATTATGATATCTTTCAATGACGTACGTTACAGAAACTTATAACAAGGTCTAATACAGTTACATACATCACGAATAGATGTAATCTAGTGGGACAGCAAAGAACTATAACATACACAGCCATAGTGTAGTAAATACGATGTTTCACCTGACGTTGGTGACAGTGATATTAACTTCCAGATCACAATAACATACCCAGCCATCGTGTAGTAAATACGATGTTTCACCTGACGTTAATGACAGTGATATTAACTTCCAGATCACAAAAACATCCCCAGCCATAGTGTAGTAAATCCGATGTTACACCTGCCGTTAGTGACAGTGATATTAACTTCCAGACCACAATAACATCCCCAGCCATAGTGTAGTAAATACGATGTTCCCCCTGCCGTTAGTGACAGTGATATTAACTTTCAGATCACAATAACATAATACCCAGCCATAGTGTGTAAATACGATGTTACACCTGACGTTAGTGACAGTGATATTAACTTCCAGACCACAATAACATCCCCAGCCATAGTGTAGTAAATACGATGTTACACCTGACGTTAGTGACAGTGATATTAACTTCCAGATCACAATGAAGAAAATACTCGTCGTTGTTCCGACGTTGTGGTAATTATGATTATTTTACCATATACTTTATATCACATAGGAAAGTTAATGAACGGGTACGATCAAATTTGATTTTTACACAATACACATAATACAAATATCTAATCAATCTTTGGTCGCTATGATGGTTTCTATATCTTCCATGTTAACTAAAGTCCTTTTATATGAGTTATTAACTGGTTTTATTAAATAAGATTGCAGAGAAAAATTATCTATCAGATGTCAATAACGGAAACCTTTCGGAGTTGTTTGGATTTTTGTTAATATTTCCTGCCGGTAAATATAAAAATGGTTGTATTGATATTTCTAGCATTGCTAACATTGTCCCAAAGGTAAGTTAATTCCAATTTGTTAAGTTACGTGCGGAGATCTAAAATCCACTTATCACTTGATAAAATTCTTTCCTCAAAACATGTTTTTAAAATGCAATGCAATGGTAGTCTTCCTAATTCACAATAAACTAAATTATTACAAATTTTCTTGACTCCAAGTAGCATTTTATAAAATTGTATGTGTATCTTTTCAACATCAAAAGCTTTCTGAAAGCCCCATACTTTTGCATTGTAACTTAAGACACTATTAACATAAGTGGCAAACACAGAACATTTTGTTTCGATATTCAAATTATGATTTTTGAAATTATTACAAGGTGCAAAGATAGAGAACTACGCATACCTTGTTGTCAGTTTAGTTCATGGTTCATCAGCTTTAGCCGGCATGCTGAATGTTTTATTTGTCATAGTAGAAAAAGTTTTATTAAAGGGTGCAGTTGATGTGATTCTTTCAATGATCAACATGATTATCCGTATTTTTTAATTGATTCGGATTAGATGTGTATTTTTCATAAATTAATCTCCAATTTCTTCACTGTACAGTGTATGCTATTAGCCTTGGCACATACACATTTTACATTTTATACTTAACACTCTCGGATGTGATGAATCTATACATCATAAAAATGCTTTTGTGTGTTATCAGGTGTAGCTAAAAAGCATTGTTATCTGTTAAAATGATGTTAACAAGTATACAATTTCAAAATGTTCATAGTATCTATTTTATATCAGTAGTTGTTAACCTCTTGTTTTAAGGTGGAGACTTTCCTTCGTCAGGTTTAAGGTTAATTCTGATAAGATGAATTGAAATTTAACCAAACCTGTCATTGCCACTCTAATTAAAATTTTCATTCCATCGAAATAAAACAACAGAAAAACCCCCAACACAAAACAGTGTATTATTGCATAGCAAATTGAACTGTGGTATCATGCACTACAAAGCGATTGACTATGACGTCGCTTCGAAAGTTTAATGTACACCTAAATCTTAAATGCACAATTGCTGCCCCTGTGGACGTTATTGCCCTTACAGACAATTCTAAAATATTCATATACTTTGCAAAAATAATTATAGTCACTTAAACTTCTTTAAAAGAAGTAAGTACTTGTTCTTTTATTTTAAAAGAACAACATTCTGTTGAATATTCAAAAATAGCCGGACTTAGCATTATTTGTATATTTAAAATGTGAGGTTTATTTCTCGAATAGTATAAATAATTAAGCTTTGAACTGCTTTCAGGTTCAATGAAGCACGCTAGCGCTTCATGTTAGATTTGCCTTAATCCAGTTGGAATTCATATTGTCTATGAATGCCAACTTAAAGCAGTTCAATGCTTAATTATTTAAATTCAATGAAGCGCCGCGCTTCATGTCGCATCATGTTGAATTTGACTCTATCCAGTTGGAATTCATAGTGCCTATGAATGCCAACTGAAAGCGTTCAATGCTTAACTATTTGTCTTTATCCAGTTGGAATTCAAATTACCTTTGAATGCAAGCTGAAAGCAGTTCAATACTGATATTTACTATTTTTGGGAATCTGTTCAGCTCATTGAAAATTCTTATAATACTTATTATTATTCAGCATTAACTTAAAATATTGGATGTATCGTGCGTGCTTGTTCAATGAATAGAACAGCCATCGCCCTGGGAGGGTCAGTGGTCTCCAATGTAACATAATAATGATGACGTCAACAATTGGTTAATGGCACTCATAGCCTATATGAATGCCAACTGAATTTGGTAGGGATATATAGTGACAACGCCTTACGATGGTAACTATTTGTAAGTGAATGCACCTGTAATAATGGGTATAACGTCTGTGAGGCTATAAAACATACACAGATAAACAGTAGGCGTCTAAGCTACTTGACACGTGTTTCAAACTAATATTGTTTCATATCATAAGCCTCGGTGCTCGTACTGCCAACAAATTAGTTTTTCTGATATATGTCTTGATAACAGAGGCCCAGTTACGTCTAAGGCACAAAAATAAGATTGTTAAGGTATATTGAAGGATCCCCGTACCACTGCCGAACCTGTAGCTTCGCACTGGGAACTGTTTTACGGACATTTATAAAAAACCTCATACCATGCAGGACTTTTTATTCAAAAGAAAATCGATTAAATAAACAAAATACTATCAACACAGTGTACTGAGATAAAAAAATAAATAAAAAAAAGCGAACGGGGCTAGACAGGGAAAAGACAACTGGATTTCATTCAGTTTTATCGTTATCGTTTTAACCTACTGAGCTACCTGGTCAACGTGTGCTCCAATTATATACCACGACAGATGGTGTACTCAAGAAATCACACTTGGCGTTTAGTCGATAGCTGCCTGTTGTGTTGTGTTATCAGTTTAAAATCTGTAGTGACAACCCTTGTTAAACCCTCGATTTGATATCGTTGATTTATTACTTAACATATACACAAGAAGGCACCAATATGGCAATCTTTGCTAAGTAAATTTTGTCCTTTCGTGTGGTATTCCAAGTATGGTATTTTAAGTGGTGTTTCTTATAAAGTTTCAAAAATGATCAGGCGAGATTTAAGAAGCCATCCGAAGCACTGCAGATCTTCCCTTTTTCTTCATTCTTTGTAAACAGTCTGATATATGGATATAAGGTATTTCTCTTCTGAGGGACAAATCCGGATCAGAAAAGATTTTGAACATTTGATATCTCTAGCAATTACAGTCCTAGTAATGTTATAGATATATAATAAAACAGCTGTACATTAATTGTTGTTTTTAGCATTGCACGTTCAGTTTTTGCTGTTCGTAGAGAAATACTATTGTTTCATATACCTAATGGTCGCTTTTTTGTGACCTGGATAGTCTGTCAATTGTAGCTCAGGTGGCCACTTATACTATAATATTCCCATCTGGTTTTCTTATTTCGTTTTCTTGTTCACTGTTCTACAATAATCATATGGAAGAAAACAATCACAATTTCACTACATGAAAATGTAAATAAAATATTTGAACTTTGAAGACGATCAATATCAATAACAACATTTTACGCGAAGCCTGATATCCATAACGAATGTCCACACAAACATCTGAAGCACTTAAACAATCGGCATTTTCAATTTAGGTGTCCTTTATTCACTGCAAATACTTATGGGTACATGTATGTTGGTATCCATATGCAAATTCTAAAAGTATACCTCTATGATCTCACTATGTCTATTTATAGTATCATAGGCCTTCATAACAAAATCATCCGTGCATTCATTTCCATATTATTATATGTGCGAACATTTTGTTGATAAAGATATGGCAGACCTGACCACGCTGGAGCTGTACTGGTGCCCTTCCCTCCTTCTTACCTTTGTCACACAGATCGTTGGTCTAGTTACGCCATTTTGGTACCAGGTTACATGGGTTCAGCAGGAGACAATCCGGACACAGCACGCGGGACTGTTCTCTGTGTTTAATCATGCGGACTATTTTGTTATATGTGGAGGGTCGGATGTTTGTGAGGACTTCGATCCTAACTCTAGCACATCATGTAAGTTAACCATTTGTCAGCCCCTCCGAATTTCCAAATTGACCTTACCTATTAAATATGCATCGATGGAAGGGTAAGCGTATAACGGATTCATTATCGAGGTTATATCTTATGGGAACAGGTGCATTTGCGCTCGTTGCTGCATTTGACTTCCTTTAATCGGCGATCTTCTAGTTTCTATTTTAAACACATACTGCTATTATGTTCCGGTTGCCATTATGGTTTTGTTGTAACATTTTTGTAATAGTATCTATTTCAAATGGTATAGTAAAATTTGCAATGTACTTATCGGAGACAACATGCACGATTCATAAAGTAATATAACATAAACCATTATTCAATACGCTAGAAGTGTATCTTATCATACATTGTATGTTATTTATTATACATATCTCCTGCCATTAACATAGTGTTTTTAATATGATACATTACCAGAGATTATGTGACAGTAAACCTTACTAAATATAATAGCATACGTAACAGTGTAACTGCATAAGACATGTTTCTATAGTTTAAAGCGTTTCCCTGCGCAATGGGCGTGTCAGAATATGTGTCACTGACTCTTGTATAGAACGCAAAAATACAACGTAAACAAAATACCCCAGCGTAAGGCCGATATGTTATTAGCAGGTTAAATTTACCGTAAAATTGTTAACAAATATTTTAACAACCGCACAAAGTCATTCAAAAAGAAACTACGTCAAATGCAAAGTAAAAAACCTAAAGTTTTTAGGAATTTAAGTAATGGACTGCATGAACATACTGTTTATAATGATATCGGCTTGGATATTTTGTATGATTACCTAAAGGATGTAAATAGTACTATTCATAATTATTCATGTGATTTTACAAATGTAAGCAATGATTTGTTTGATATTCCTATTACTGAACAAGGGATACGTCGTGCTGTTAAATACATCAAAAATTGTAAATCAGCAGGTCAAGATAAAATCCTACATGAGTTCATTAAGTCATCAATTGATATTTTATTACCTTTGTATATCGTACTTTTTAACAAAGTTTTTTGATACAGGTATAATACCAGATGCTTAGTCAAATAGAGTTAGCATGCCAATAAACAAAAAGAAAGGCGATCCTAGTCTACCTAGCTGTATGGGCAAATTATTCACCACTGTTTTGTATAATCGATTAACACTTTTTGTTGAAACTAACGACATTCTATCTGAAACCCAGGCCGGTTTTAGAAAAGGTTACTCTGTAATAGACCATGTATATACCTTATCTTCTGTAATTACATATTTAAGAAGTCGTGTGCATGATGATCCGGACATTGGTCTAAGCTTCTTAATTCTGGAATATCAGGAACACGTTTTAATGTTATTTTTCAAATGTACCAAAACATAAAAACATGTTTTAAACATAATCGTAATGTATCGCAATATTTTCATTGTCAATCTGGTGTACGACAAGGGGAAAATCTATCTCCTCTGCTATTTGGCATTTTTGTTACTGACCTTGAGACCACCTTACAGGGTCAAAATTGTAATGGAGTTGCTATAAGTGATAACATTTAACAGAATATTTAACGATACTCGTTTTATTATATGCTGATGATACTGTCATCTTTGCTGAAAAAGCAGTCTACGTGCAGAAATCATTATCAGTTTGTCAAGAATATTGTGTATAGCGGAAATTGACACTTAACACAAGTAAAAGTAATGTCAATATTTTGGTTTTAAATGCCACAGGTTACCTGGTATAAATATCTTGGATTCACTTTTCAAAAACTGTTCCTCTTCACTGGCAAAAAAGCATATAGACGATCAGGCCACTAAGGCTATGTTTACATTGGAATGAAGGATCCGCAATTTAAATTTACCAATTAATTGTCAGATTAAACTTTTTGATCAAACAATTTTACCAATATTGTTATTCGGTTGCGAGATTTAAGGTTTTGAAAATTGCTCAATTATTGAAAAAGTAAATACGGATTTTCTCCGAAGTATTATGAATGTTAAAAGTAGTACATGTTATATGGTGAATTGGGACGTTTTCCTCTTGTAGTTTATATCAAGAGTCGTATTATAGGTTTCTGACTTAAATTAATAAATGGTAAGCAAAACAAATTGTCTTACCGTATCTATAAAGCCCTATTTGCCGATCATATTAGTGGTTCCCGTACCCATAAATGGTTAACTTTTGTTGAAAATATTTTTAATGAAATTGGCTTCAGCTACGTATGGTTGTCACAAAACATCAACAGCCAGAATAATAAGAACCTACCTCAGACTATTTTAGAAAGACTCAAGAGTCAGTATTTTCAACTATGGCATGATCCAGTCTATCATTCTGGTAAAAGCATATGTTATAGAATGTTTAAAAATGAAAAAAACCTAGAACCTTATCTTTTGATCTTACCGAAAATTTAAGAAATACTCTCATACGTTCGCATACGTTATAGAACATTTAACCATCGACTCCCTGTTGAAGTTGGTAGGTGGGGAAATGTTCCTAGGGATGAACGTATATGTTCATTTTGTGATTAGCAACTTATTGGTGATGAATACCATTATATATTTGAATGTAGCTTTTATCGTACTAGAAGATGTACATGTATGCCAAGATATTATTTCCCGTTTCAAAATACTATCAAATACCGTGAACTATTTTGCACAACTAACATGAAATTAATGAAAAACCTTTGGAACTTTCTGCGATGTGTATTGCCACCATTTCAGTCTCCAGGCTAACTTACCTATTCCAACGCTGTCAATTGTTTATTGTGTATGTTACTCATGTATCGTTTGTATCGATCTTAATGTTTAATAAAGTTCTGTTCTGTTCTGTATATAATTGCTATATTGATTGCTCTTCCTATCCATTCATCTGGTGACCAATTACATTTTGTCGACGCTTTTCGCTTTCGTTTTCATTTCATTGACCACATATGTTTACGCAATTTTATTTGTCAATGCCACTCTGACTTTAGTTTCATAACGTCTGATACATTCTCTGTTATACACCGGCTGACTGTCGCAAGGACGTTTAATACCATTTTTTACAAGTATATAATAAGAATATCTGACGGAATTGGTGACACAAAATATGGTATTAACATGTATATATAAGGATATTGCTTGCTAAAAGATAATTTGATACTCATTACTCTTTTCTTCAAGTATAATGGAAGACTTTATTTTCATTAAGTACACGAATTGAATTAAGAAAGCATTTGGCCGCACATGATCATGAAGTCACAAGAAATATTGTGTTTTTTTATCGTAAAAGCTGCTTTCTCATTTGTCAAAGAAATATGCATACTGGAAATATATATCACCCTTAGAGACATCATAAACCCGTATTCCGTCTTTGTGTATTGCAGAGTTATCTTCTCTTGGGAGCACGTATTGATTGGTACGTCACTTGTTTGTGAGAGTAACGTCATCAACTTTTGGGAAAACGACGTAATTTTCTCACACAGACCAATGACGTAACAATCAATACCTGCTCCCAAGAGAAATTAACTGCAATACGCAAAGACGGAATATGTATTCACTGGTGAAATCGTAATGCTATCATGAATTTTAACTTTGAACCTCGCTGAGGCGACGATTACATGTTGTATCATATACTACATGTAAGTCGTTATGGCGTCCAGAAAGTGTACATTTAAGATAATTTTACATGACAGTATTACCTGACAATGTAACGTAAGTGTATTGTAAACAACACAGGTGAAAAAGGTAAACAGATGAATATAAGCCACAGTCTCTCTGTAAATGTACTAATGTGGTAATTACATAATGTTTACGGCATTTAATCCAGACAGACAACGGACTAAGTGAAATACAGCTGATATAGTGACATGATTACCCACTTTGGAGATAGAAATTGTTTTCTCATTATTCCTTCTGTCATCAATCATTGTTTACAGTAGTGATAATATTGTAAATATTGAGGACACGACTTCCCACGTAAAGAGATTTTAGTTGCCAAAGTTTGCCAGATAAATATAAGAGGGAAAAAAATGAGATAAAACTGTAACACGTCCTTGACCTCGTCATCTTGTCTTTCATTACTAGTTACAAATGTAATTATTACACACTGGCCATCATCAAACTGCTGTCATGGTCGGCCTGAGCCTATATAGCATTTGTAAACCTGACACTATTACATATTTATTAATGTAAATTATTTCCTCTTGTTTTTGCAGGGAATTATGATATCGGAAAGACATTTTTGATGGCAGGAAGTGTGTTCCTCTTGTTAGGATCTGTGGTGTCAGCTCCTGGATGTTCAAAAACGATTGGCACACATTTTCGAATGTTAGCGAGAATATGCAGATATGCAGGTACTTAAATACACGATAACGTGATTCCCTCACTAATTGCAAATGTTAAAAGGGATTTTTGATTCAATCTTCATTGGTGTAAGACTAAAGTATTCGAGATAATACAAATATTATTTATTTTTTAATTACAATATCACATGAAATGGTACGTACATTGTAACCGACAAAATATTATGTGATACAAAAAAACAATGGTGTGTGTATGTTCTACATTGCGGAAACCTAAAATTATGCAACAACTTATAATATGTTTATTGTAAATAACGAAATACAGCAAACAATGGTATGCTTTTAATGTTATAGCAACATTTGTTCAAAAAACCTGATGATATGTTTATTGCACAAAGCAAAATTAATACAACAAAGTATGATATGTTTATTGTATTTAGAGAATTAAAATAGCAAAATGTATTTAAAGAATTAATTATATGTTTATTATTCATAGCGAAATTGATACAAAGCTAATGCTTTGTTTTTGTATAGAGCGAAATTTATAAAAAAAAAAACACACCCACTAATGATATGTGTATTGTTTATAGCGAAATTATACAAAAAAACCGAATGGTATGTTAATTGTATCCAGCGAAATTTATTGTATATAGCGAAATTCGTGTTTAGTATATACAGATAAATCCATACCAAATTAATCAAACTTATGATACAATTTCAAAAACATTTCCCTTTCCTTTTTCCGGAAATTTTGAATCTGCTCTTTTTAGCCGTGTGATTGACTGATTGATTATGATCTGACCCCAAAATAATTTATTCCAACTGTATATATACTTTTCAACTGTATACATGCCTCAGAAAGCTATTTTACTGTTAAATTTGTGCTGTTCACATTATATTCACACCCGCATACCTTAGACTTTTTATTTTTCGAAAGAAATAAACAGTGGAGGGAGTAAGGGGGGGAGGGGGNTCAAACAAATGCTACAATTTGTTTAGAATTTCTATCGCAATCCGACAACTAATTTATCAGATTCAATGAAATTGATCTGTTGGTTTTGCCTCTGATTCCACGGGTTATCAAATGACATCAAATTCTGATACGTATTGCCCCTTCCCCAAGGGCTTTGAGCAAAGTTTACTAATCATTACGTGTATGCTTTTCTATTGAGGGGAGTGTCGTTTGTTCGTTAATTTCAATGGTTTAGAATACCCTGTCAGCGTACTGGCCAGACAATAGCCAACTGAGCGGTATGAAAAGATATGAAAATTTAATGATTTCAAATGTCAGTCAGTCTGAATTGGAGATGGCTCTGTTTTAACGATTTATCGGAATAGTCCGTAAAACTGATCTGTTTAGAATTAAATTAAGGTCGGATACACATGCCGTAACATCTAACTCGTGACTAAAGTCGGTTCCATTCCGTCCGGCAAAACTTGTGTTTAGAGTAGTAAAATTTAGAGTGTGGACATTTTGTTGTAGCATATATTTAGAATCTTGAAAAAATGTGCACGGTAGTTTTGTCAAATCTTGACAATATAGCTTAAGATTAAATAAATTAACAAATCTGAAAAAAAAAAAAAAAAAAAAAAAAAAAAACCAACTTATGATCCGTACTTGGCCCACTGGTTAGCATACCGGGGAGTCAATAACTCAACCATGACCAGTCCTTTAGGTAAAGGGTGTCACCCAATTACACTGTATTATTAATATCGTCACTATTGTTAAATATTTGTTCAAGTACTTTTTAAAATACATAAATGTACACATTCCATAAAAATTGCATATTACCATGTCTTTTTTACAGAATTGTAGTTGTTTGAACTTGGAATATTTCATTTTTTTTTTTTTATCAAAAACAAAACAAAACTGCATAGGTGGAACTCGTTTTCGCGATTATAATTGAATTAGTAGTACCGTTTGCCTTAACTAACCCTATTCATATAACTGTTCATCAGTACTTGGACTATTGGTAAACAAACCAACTAGGGTACATACTCCCCACATATTAATGATTAACGTTGTCCAAATAAGTATTACATTGTTTCTCACGTTAAAAGGTTTTAGTTACCAAAGCTTACTTTGCCAATTAATCGCTGTTTGGTTATAAGCTGGGAGAAAAACCACAAAAACCGCTTTCTTGGATAATTATATAGAAATAAAATCAGGGTGTAGAATGTCCTTATTTTTTTTATTTTTTTTTCAAAACAGTGTGAATATTTATGCTTGTCTATTACTTATTGATGTACACGTCTAATGGTGTGTCATGTTTTACAGCCTGCCTCACCCTTGCCGGGTGTCTTTGGATTTTCGTTACATTTTACTGTGACACGATCACGTACCAGGCCTACAGATCGTTTGTGTCGCTCCAGCTCGGCCATTCTTTCTACTGGACAATGTTGACCGGCTGCGTGTCACTTGTTTTCACCTGCGTTCTGTACACTTTGACCTCAATTAAGGACGCACGTGTGACACAAGCTAACTTGCATGATGACATCATGCATAAGGATTGCATTCCTTATATTATGAAATCTCAACTTTCAGCAAAATAAATATCCCATATTTATTTCTGACTATATCAACACGTACTTGTTTTAGGTTGGAGTGTTTTTGTTATAAATGATTCAAAGTTTTAAACATAAAAGAAATAGGAATTCTTTTATATTTTAGCTACTATTATTAATTATCAAGTGATACTTTTTATAAAGAATTTAAATGAACAAATTGAATGGACGAGTGAATGATACAAAATGGACAGATGCGTGATGAATGGAATGTAAACAGATGCCTGGCTGCATGGTTGAATCAGTAATCATGATTAGATGGACAAATAAACATATTGTGCCCTGTTTGTGATAGTTGTAAATATTTGTTGTTGTTTATTTCGAAATTCAACCATATTACAGATATTGTCATTTAACATCCCAAAATTATTTAAATAGATTCTTATTGTGAGGATACAAGTTTGTAATCTGTAAGACAATACTATATGAACTTTTCCAATCTATATTTCTAAATTTTTGTTTCAATACCAATTTTCTTTCAGCTGTATTTACTCATTTAATTTTACTATTTAATATGTCATACATATGCAAGACCACACATTTGTGTTTTTCTAACGAATCAGAAAGCACGAGTTTATTGCGCGAATGAATGTATTCACGAGTGCGCGGAGCAACACAGAACGTTGTATTTCAAATGTCATTTGATAAGCATTTTGCCAATGGAGAAATAACTCCCGCCTAAAGAGTCGGCAACTAATGTCACCTCACGGAAATAAACAATTATCCTAAACTCTTTAACGTTTCAGTATACCTTCGATTTATCACACTTATTTCCTGTTCTTCCAACATGCTATTTGTTAACTTGTATGGTACCTGGAGAATTAACTATATTAATCGTTGCATTTGCAACCTCTTTGTCGACTTTTACGTTATTCCCGGATTAATGTGAGAGAAAAGGAGTCAAACATTACGTAGGCATAGGGTATAGAGAATGCATACAATCGGGTGTTTTAAGATCAAGACATCGGCAAAGCTTCGCTTCTGATCTAAATTCTGCATCCCCGAATAGAATGTTTCTGTCCCCAATTCCTTCATAATAATGAGTCTCAAATACATTTACAAAGACACTTATTCCAACCATATTACCACGAGTTGGACTGTAAAACATGTAACGTTGTCAATGAGATTAAGTGCCCCCTCAGTGATAGGAACAATCTACCAGTACGCCCATCAGTGATCATTAGTCAGCGATTAAGTTATTGTAATTAGAATGCAGAGCTATACATTTATCAACAATCATCCAAATCGTTGGATACTTTTTATGATGGTCCGTATAGACCAGGAAATGTATCATTCTTGGATCAGTTCAGGTGGTACTCAGTGTCGTAGTCGACGTAAGCATAGTATATACTTGATTATAGTCATTACAGCTCCGTAATGTTATAATGATGAAAAATGAAACTTTATATTTCAAGACCTAATGTAAATGGGATGACACAGAGATAAAAACGTGATATACGCATTCATGTTGCACAATATATCACTCGAAAGCTGATTGGAACAAACAGACAAATGTTGGATGAGTTCTTGTCCGTTGGTTCTGATAAAAAAAAACACCATATCAGATATATTGATTTTACTAGCCGTCTAGTATACATAGCAATAGGCCGAAGTTCGACATATTGATAAAAGGAAACAAGAGGCAATCAATATTACTTACATCTTGTTTCATATATCAGAATATACAAGCCATCGATTCCAACTAATTGGATCTTAAGTGTGCTATAACCCGACACTGCAGCAACTTGTGTTAGATGGGTTAGTAACAATATCCCACCATGTCGTTCTGTCAGGCCATTATAGCCGACTTAACCATTATCAAAATGTCCAAAATATCGAAAAGCACCATTAAATTTCCTTATCCTTATGGATTTTGTCGAGAACATACTAGAAAATGGGCAAAGGAAGATAAAATGCAAAAAAAAAAATCATTGTAAATCTATACGGCAATTTATACAGCAACGAAAATATTACAGATAAAGTTATACGTTGTAGACAGATCACATCGATTATGTGTTTGCTATCAATGGTTTTGTTCGAAAAATTCCATAGAATATAGTTTGTACCTTTATTCAAAGTTTATAGAATATGCACGGTGTACTGACAGACATGACTAAAAACTAGAAAATCTTATTCGAAATCATATGGTTAACGTAGACATCAAAAATTTTAAATTGATTTGTTTGTGTTTTACGTCCTATTAACAGTGATGACCATTAAAGGCCAGATTTTGTAAATTAAGCTCGTATGTATCTGCTCATGTTGAGGTTACAAAATGCTTGTACAATTTGTCAATTTATTCCGGATTTAATCAGTGAATAGTTAGCCAAGTCGATTGAAATAGAAAGAACCGCTACCAACCATAACAAACATATCATTTAATGAATTACCCCGGGGATCAGCTAGAGAGACCAACTTACAAAATCTTCATTTCAAAATGTATGATAGAGTAATTCATTTACAGCACGTGGAGTACACTTGTCGAAAACCCTTTTGGTACTCTATAGGTCAGTTGTCAGATGGTCACGTAGTAGCACTTCCTCACCATCCGGTGCTTATTGTTTTAGATATGTCGTATTGAAAGTGGGTTTGACATTATTTACTTCTGAGTGTTAGGACTATACATTTTTTAACATTTAACATACTATTGTAAACAAGAATAAAAATCCTTTTAACTGTTATTAATGAAAAAACAATATATATTAAATGATACTGAAACACTGCAAACATACATGTAGATTGTAAACATACCCAATGAAGTAGAGTAATATCCGAGAAATGGGAAGATTCCGACTCCATACTTAACAGAATGTACATATACTCAAAAAGAAAACATTCGTATGTCTCCCTGTAGAAAATCTGTAGCCCTCTTGAAAATGAGAATTTAGTTGGTAGATAAATCACATTGGTTTGGTTACAAAACTAATCTTAAGCTGAGGCTGAGGCTGTCGGAATAGGACAGAGAGTGAAAATCCTTGGAATGTTCAAGTTGGTCAGTTGAAATGCCTTCATTAGGCTCTGGTACACCGACGGTTAGGAAATCTATGGATTCACATATCTATTTTATCTGAGTATTGCTTTGCAAAGAGTGGGTGACGTCTAGAACGTTTCAAGGACTGTTGCTTCCGCAAACATGTCCATTTAGGTGGCGTTTGCGTAATGTTTTGGTATGGTGTTCGCGGGGGTTACTACTCCAGGCTTGTTGAAATTTGACTAGGGATTCGTTACCGTGATGAAATATTGAGACATGTTGCTATTTCCTTGTTAGGTGGTAAATGCACATGCAAAAACCATGTTATCAATAGAAATAAGACATATTTGGATGAATATCACACTTCTGGCAAAAATGTTAATATAAAAGTAGTGTCAATTCACAGCCAATCTGGACGTGGTAGGGTACAAGTATATCATCGTTTTTATTAATACTTGTTTTAATGTTTACAATGGCTACAGAATGGCACAAAAACCTTTGTTTTGATTTTATGATACATTAATATTTATTTCGCCTTTGTAAAAAATGCATGTGTACATGATTAAAGTCAAAACGAACAACACTCAAGACATAAAACCAATGGTTCAAGTCGCTACAAAATGTACATAGACTTTTCTGCTGCCTTTTACAGTATAACAAACCGTTAAGGTACGGACATCAATCGCCAGGGTTACTACCAAAGTAGAACGATCAACTCAGCAAATACCTCCAACAAAAAATTCCTCGGTCCTATGTTCTTCACGAAAGCATGTGCCATCGGTTTGACCCTCAACAATATCGATCAGCACCGCGTTGAAAAATGCAATCATCTGTTTAAACTCTATTTGTACTCCAAAATTAAAAAGTTTACAATTACGAGACCCACCAAAACACTCTTGTAAAAATTCTCTTTATCTGCAAATTCTCTATTGGTCCTCCAAAGGTTGCAGTTACGTGATTCCAAAAACACTCTTTTACAAATATATCTATCCGCATATGAAATGCAACAATGTTTTGCGGGAATTGAATGTCGGAATAAAAGATAATGAAAATGGTGACAGAGCAGCCAAAAAAAATGCATGGAACTCCTAGCAAACCAATATCGAACAGCCATATACAGATTACACTCACACAGGTTACTGCACAGTTGATAATTGAACACTGATACAGTATTCCAAAATATGAATAACATTGCATCATGCAGCTGTTTGGTCCTTCTAGGACTCATCGGACAAATGGTAGCCCCTTATCAAATGATTATCCTGGCCCTAAATGGCCATAGTTTTGTATGGGCCCTTCTACTGCTTAATAATTCACATAGATGCCCCAGGTCGCAACACACCTAAAAACTCTAATGACCATAAATATGCATGCGAGTAATGTATAAACCAATAACGTCACAGCTACGGTTTTGCTACATGAACTTCTGTATATTCAACAACAAACTCTTTCCCAGAAAGTTTTACGAGGAAAGCACAGCAAACCGGTCAATAGTTAAAAGTAACGCCCTGTCAATAGCTAACTGATTGGCTGTTAGCTGCGAGCAACAAATAAGATTTCCAAGTCAATAGTTTGAATGTTGCCTGCTGTTTCATGCCTTTACAGATAACAGTCATAACTATTTCCAAAATTAAAAATTCCATGATGATGGGATCAACTGGATGAACTGTTTCCTTACCTCGGAAAATGGTTTTGATTCTTGACTCTAAAATGCATCATTTTTAGCTTTCTTTTTTATGATAATCTACATGTTTGCAGATGTCCAGTAGAAACAGACTATATAACTAATTAATTAGCCAATTACTGTATGTGAAGGGAGTCAGTCATTGTGGACAATACATATAGGATATTTACTCCCTATAACACACACATACACATAAATACATCAGATGAACAGATACTTAGGCTACCTGAATCTCTATAAATAAATACACATTCAACAAAAACTCTTTCCCTGGAATATTTACAAAGCAAAGACTGTAACACAGAGATACTCTCCTTTCACTGTGTCTATTATCAAATAAATAGATAGTTCTCAATACAAAATGAAATTATATAAATTTACAAATAGAAATTCTGCAGAAATTTAAAGGTTATATGGTATTGTACAATTTATGTAAGTGTTCACATATAAACCTAAATGTGGTCTGTACATGTTTATACAACCATCATACTCACAATAAAGTCATACAGCATCAATAAACGCTGATGAACATGCAAGACTGTGTTGCAATGATACATATTGATAGGAAGGTCTGACTACTTGTGACTCAATTCCATAAGTGCTTTTGCAGCCTCTTCATCAAGATGGACCCTGTTCATCCTTTATCTGGGCCCAATTATTTTAAACAATACAACACATTATTACCTTTCACCACATTCTACCTTATATATCCTATATCTGGGGGCAATTATTGTAAACAATACAACGCAAGATTACCAATTATAACATCGTACCTTGTACATCCTATATATGCGCTAAATTATTTTAATCAAACAATACAACACATGAACAATACACCTGTATTACCATTCATCGCACTGGACCATGTACATCCTATATCTGGGCCCAATTATTGTAAACCGTACATCACAGTATTACAATTCACCACATTGTACCTTATACATCCTATATCTGGGCCCAATTATTGTAAACAATAAATATGCAAGACCACACACTTGTGTTTTTCTAACGAATCAGAAAGCAATCATTTATTGCGCGGACCAATATATTCACGAGTGCGCGGAGTGCACGAGTGAATATATACGTCCGCGCAATAAATGAGTGCTTTCTGATTCGTTAGAAAAACACAAGTGTGTGGTCTTGCTTTTATCACATACCTTCCATATTCGGTAAAGATCGATACAAAGATTTTATAAACTTTGATATTTTTTGCAAATACCGGGAACTTTTCAGTTCGCCATAAAAAGTAGTTCCGGCTAGTAGGAAAATACAACATTCCGTATTGCACATGTGCAATACAGAACGTTGTATTTCATGGTCTGAAAATTTGCTTGTATTACTATAACAAGATTCAACAGGTATATGATAAAGAACAATACACCTACATTACCATTCATCGTCATGAACATTGTACGTCCTATTTTTGGGATCAGTTATTGTAAAGAGCGTGTTTTGCTTGGTTACATTAAGTTGTTTATGGAATCAACAAACTTTCTACAGTTACTTCTTATTTATTAGCTACATGTGTATACAGTATTTCATTGCTGGCATTGTCCTAGCGTCCGGCCTAACAAGGTTAAGGTTCCAGTGTACTTTCTGAGCAAATCCACACATACATATAGGAGAGAACGATTCCAGTATCAGCCTCAAGGATATCACAGTTTCATCAGAACCACACTGATTTTGATATGGCACATCATGTATCACAACTAAGATTCTAAATACAACGTATTAGTGAATTTCACTTTAAACAGTTTTAACTTTCAGAATTGCGACTGGCATGCTGAACATCCGTCACATATCCTCATCGTCCCTCCAATTCTCACTGAAAAGAGAACGTTTGGAACATAAGAGACATAGTCTTGTTTTTATTATCAAAAAACTAATTCATGTTCATTAATTGATGTAAAATATGACACTTTCATTACACAATCATAGCCTTTAGCTACTCATAGCCAGTAAACTGACTAGAGACCATCACACTATTATTTCTACCCAGTAAATTAAACATGTACACAATCATATGCTTTACTCCTAAACAGTAACCATAGTAACGGACTCACACACAGACAATCGAAGCTTAAATCATTTCCGGTAATCTAAGTAATCGAGATCCCTACCGACAGTCATAGGTTTACTCCTCCGGTAACTGAGTAACAGTGACCCACATACACTTGGACATAATTGTCTTTCTGACAGAGAATAAAAACCACATACTCACATTAAGCTCACCAACATACAAAATATGTTACAAAATAAAGTATATAGTAAGACAAAAGTATCTAGTAAAAAGAGTATATAGTATGTTGTTATCAAAAAGTGGTTTTTTTTAATAATAATCTTATTTATCTGACAGAGAATAAAACAACGTAAAGTCTAACTGAAAGTAAAACCACACACTCACGGCGTCTAACAAGAAGTAAAGTCGCATACTCCCATAGTGTTACAGAAAGTAAAACCACATACACCCATAATCTAACAGAAAGTAAAGTGACATACCCCCATAGTCTAACAGAAAGTAAAGTGACATACTCCCATAGTCTAACAGAAAGTAAAGTCACATACTCCCATAGTCTAACAGAAAGTAAAGTCACATACTCCCCTAGTCTAACAGTAAGGAATGTCACATACTCCCATAGTCTAACAGAAAGTAAAGTCACATACTCCCATAGTCTAACAGTAAGGAATGTCACATACTCCCATAGTCTAACGGAAAGTAAAGCCACGTACTCCCATAGTTTAACAGAAAGTAAAGTCACATACTCCCATAGTCTAACAGAAAGTAAAGTCACACACTCACGACGTCTAACGGAAAGTAAAGTCACATACTCCCATAGTCTAACAAGTAAGGAATGTCACATACTTCCATAGTCTAACAGAGAATTAAGTCACAACCTCCCATAGTCTAACAGAAAGTAATGTCACATACTCCCATAGTCTAACAGAAAGTAAAGTCACATACTCTCATAATCTAACAGAAATTAAAGTCACGTACTCCCATAGTCAAACAGAAAGTAAAGTCACATACTCTCAATCTAACAGAAAGTAAAGTCACATACTCCCATAGTCTAACAGAAAGTAAACTCAAATACTCCCATAGTCTAACAGAAAGTTAAGTCATATACTCCCATAGTCTAACAGAAAGTAAAGTCACATACTCCGATAGTCTAACAGAAAGTAAAGCAACATACTCCCATAGTCTAACAGAAAGTAAAGTCACATACTCCCATAGTCTAACAAGTAAGGAATGTCGCATACTCCCATAGCCAAACAGCAATAACGTCACATACTCACGACGTCTAACGGAAAGTAAAGTTACGTACTCCCATAGTCTAACAAGTAAGGAATGTCACATACTCCCATAGCCAAACAGCAATAAAGTAACATACTCATGACGTCTAACGGAAAGTAAAGTTACATACTCCCATAGTCAAACAGAAAGTTAAACCACATACTCACGATGTCTAACAGAAAGTAAAGTCACGTACTCCCATAGTCAAACAGAAAGTTAAACCACATACTCACGATGTCTAACAGAAAGTAAAGTCACGTACTCCCATAGTCTAACAGAAAGTAAACTCAAATACTCCCATAGTCTAACAGAAAGTTAAGTCATATACTCCCATAGTCTAACAGAGAGTTAAGTCACGTACTCTCATAGTCTAACAGAAAGTAAAGTAAGGAATGTCACATACTCCCATAGTCTAACAGCAAGTAAAGTCACATACTCCCACAGAAAGTAAAGTCACATACGCCCATAGTCTAACAGAAAGTAAAATCACATACTCCCATAGTCAAACAGAATGTAAAACCACATACACCCATAATCTAACAGAAAGTAAAGTGACATTCTTCCATAGTCTAACAGAAAGTAATGTCACATACTCCCATAGTCTAACAGCAAGTAAAGTCACATACTCCCATAGGCTAACAGAAAGTAAAGTCACATACGCCCATAGTCTAACAGAAAGTAATGTCACATACTCCCATAGTCTAACGGAAAGTAAAGTCACATACTCCGATAGTCTAACAGAAAGTAAAGCAACATACTCCCATAGTCTAACAAGTAAGGATTTTCACATACTCCCATAGCCAAACAGCCATAGAGTCACATACTCACGACGTCTAACGGAAGGTAAAGTTACATACTCCCATAGTATAGTTTAACAGAAAGTAAAGTCACATACCCCCATAGTCTAACAGAAAGTAAACTCAAATACTCCCATAGTCTAACAGAAAGTAATGTCACATACTCCCATAGTCTAACAGCAAGTAAAGTCACATACTCCCACAGAAAGTAAAGTCACATACGCCCATAGTCTAACAGAAAGTAAAGCAACATACTCCCATAGTCTAACAAGTAAGGATTTTCACATACTCCCATAGCCAAACAGCCATAGAGTCACATACTCACGACGTCTAACGGAAGGTAAAGTTACATACTCCCATAGTCTAACAAGTAAGGTATGTCACATACTCCCATAGCCTAGCAGAAAGTAAAGTCATATACTCCCATAGTCAAACAGCAAGTAAAGACACGTACTCCCATAGTCTAACAAGTAAGGATTTTCACATACTCCCATAGCCAAACAGCAATAAAGTCACATACAGTAAGGAATGTCACATACTCCCCTAGTCTAACAGTAAGGAATGTCACATACTCCCCTAGTCTAACAGTAAGGAATGTCACATACTCCCATAGCCAAACAGCAATAAAGTAACATACTCATGACGTCTAACGGAAAGTAAAGTCACATACTCCCCTAGTCTAACAGTAAGGAATGTCACATACTCCCATAGTCTAACAAGTAAGGTATGTCACATACTCCCATAGCCAAACAGCCATAGAGTCACATACTCACGACGTCTAACGGAAGGTAAAGTTACATACTCCCATAGTATAGTTTAACAGAAAGTAAAGTCACATTCTCCGATAGTCTAACAGAAAGTAAAGCAACATACTCCCATAGTCTAACAAGTAAGGATTGTCACATACTCCCATCGCCAAACAGCAATAAAGTCACATACAGTAAGGAATGTCACATACTCCCCTAGTCTAACAGTAAGGAATGTCACATACTCCCCTAGTCTAACAGTAAGGAATGTCACATACTCCCCTAGTCTAACAGTAAGGAATGTCACATACTCCCATAGTCTAACAAGTAAGGTATGTCACATACTCCCATAGCCTAGCAGAAAGTAAAGTCATATACTCCCATAGTCTAACAGAAAGTAAAATCACATACTCCCATAGTCAAACAGAAAGTAAAGTCACATACTCTCATAATCTAACAGAAATTAAAGTCACGTACTCCCATAGTCTAACAGAGAGGAAAGTCACATACTCCCATAGTCTTACAGAAAGTAAAGCCACATATTCAAACATAATTTAACACAAAGGAAAGACCCACACACTCTAAAATAACTTATCTAAACTCACTTATAGTCAGAGAGAAAGGAAGTAAATCATTAACACTAATAGTCCCACAGAGTTGCCTATCTCTAAAACTGTACAGTCTTAATTAACCTACTCAAATACTCCCATAGTCTAACAGAGAGTAAAGTCACATACTCCCATAGTCTTACAGAAAGTAAAGCCACATATTCAAACATAATTTAACACAAAGTAAAGACCCACACACTCTAAAATAACTTATCTAAACTCACTTATAGTCAGAGAGAAAGGAAGTAAATCCTTAACACTCATAGTCCCACAGAGTTGCCTCTTTCTAAAACTGTACAGTCTTAATTAACCTACCAACCCCACTGATAGTTTTGTTATTAATACGGACTGATACTCACTCATTGTCTGAACTTAATTCCGGATTAGATCCATTATTGTCATCTCCTCCGCTGTCATCTCCGTCCGGATCATAGTCCTCATCTTCCTTAAACTCTGAGGCCACTGAAACCAAAAGTAATTTAACAATAACGATCCCACACATTGATGTACATGTATAAGGTATTGGCTTTCTCATTATTTTATCTTTTTTATCTTTTTTGCTAAACATTTATTGTACTATGTCCTTGTTTAAAAAAAGATTTCAGATATCACAGGTGTAGGAGAAACATTAGACAGACAACTACGTCTTTACGAAATGAACTTACATTCTTCTATGTGTTTTGCAGCATCATATTTGAGGGTAATGTCGACAGCCTCTGGGTGCTCCTCTTTGTATTTCGTAAGACCATCCATAACAGCTTTTCTCATCTCTTCGATGTGGAGATCACGTGGATTGGAATACAGGCTGCACCTTAAATGCATAGAGTCAAAACTAAATGACATGTATATTTGTATATTCTATAACTGTAAACCAAATCATATAAACCGTAAAAAAAACATGGACTCTAGAATTTGTTGTTCAAACTTTTCCATTAAACCTAAATGTATTCTAGAAAGTGATTTAATTCATCTATATCAGCAAATAGTCATGTCAAATTTGATCAAATATTCACATACATCTCTTCATCGTCATCATCAAAGTGGTCATAATCCTCAACAGGTTTTCGGCATAAGTAACACTGGGAGGCGCCACATGTACAGGTCATCTTATTACAGCCGTACTCTTTAAAGAACCTCTTCTGACAGTTGTGGCACTTATGAAGCATGGCTTCTGACACACACAGCTCTATATACGTCCTCATATTCCTTTCTCCTTGTCTCTCTATTTCGTTACAAGCAAGGGGTACATGATTAGGCTCCTTACAGAGTCTGAAACAGGCAAATATGTAGTTAAACTTTGTGACATTATTTTCAATAAAATGAACCTTCAATGCAATGCACATGTGATTTATTACTTAACTTACATCTAGGTTATACATTATATTATACACTAGTGAGACACATATACAAGAATACTGGAGATGTTCTGGATTAAAATGCAAGGGAAGCAATTACATTAAGAAATCCTTAAGACATTCTCAGCTTAAGACATATACATACACATATCGTGGAGACTTTTTATGGTTAGGACACTTTAAAGGCACTTACCTACAGGATTCCTTGAGACACTCTGGGTTAAGACACTTTTAAGACACTTAACTACAGGATTCTTTGAGACACTCTGGGTTAAGACACTTTATAAGACACTTACCTCTAGGATTCCTTGAGACACTCTGGGTTAAGACACTTTTATTAAAATTACCTACAGGATTCCTTGAGACACTCTGGGTTAAGACATTTTTAAGACACTTACCTTCAGGATTCCTTGAGACACTCTGGGTTAAGACACTTTTTCTAACTTACCTACAGGATTCCTTGAGACACTCTGGGTTTAGACACTTTTAAGACACTTACCTTCAGGATTCCTTGAGACACTTTGGGTTAAGACACTTTTATTAAACTTACCTGCAGGATTCCTTGAGACACTCAGGGTTTAGACACTTTTAAGAAAGTTACCTACAGGATTCCTTGAGACACTCTGGGTGTAGATTCCTTGAGACACTCTGGGTTAAAACAATTACCTACAGGATTCCTCGAGACACTCTTGATTAGGAAATGTACCTACGGGATTCCTTGAGACATTCTGGGTGAAGACACTTACCTACAGGATTCCTTGAGACACTCTGTTAAGACATTTATTAAGACACTTACCTTCAGGATTCCTTGAGACACTCTGGGTTAAGACACTTTTAAGACACTAACCTACAGGATTCCTTGAGACACTCTGGTTTAAGACACTTTTAAGACACTTACCTACAAAATTCCTTGAGACACTCTGGGTTAAGACACTTTTAAGAAACTAAACTACATGATTTCTTGAGACACTCTGTTTAAGACACTTTTAAGACACTTACCTACAGGATTCCTTGAGACACTCTTGGTTAAGAAACTTACCTACAGGATTCCTTGAGACACTTCCGGTTAAGACATTTATTAAGACACTTACCTTCAGGATTCCTTGAGACACTCTGGTTTAAGACACTTTTAAGACCCTTACCTACAAAATTCCTTGAGACACTCTGGGTTAAGACACTTTTAAGAAACTAAACTACATGATTTCTTGAGACACTCTGTTTAAGACACTTTTAAGACACTTCCCTACAGGATTCCTTGAGACACTCTGGGTTAAGACACTTTTAAGACATTTACCTACAGGATTCTCTGAGACACTCTGGGTTAAGACACTTGAACACTTTATCATCAGGATTAGAGATGATGGTGGCAAAGCTACAGAATGGACAGCTGATAAGGTCAGGTATGTCTGCCTGTTTCACTTCTTCTTCCTGCTTCCTTCTCAACAATATGGAGAACATGTTCTGGGACATGACTTCCTGTAGCACTGAGAGTGGGAACTGATATTCACAGTTATCTGTGAAACAAGGAAAGACACACTGGCCGTCTCCGATGGCGACCTCTGATGACCTTTTGATACAGTCCTTGCAGAAAAGATGACCATCCTGACAGGATGCCATATCCTCAATGAAACATTCATTGTCATAGCAACAACCGCATTCAAGAAGTTCCTCATTTTCTTTAGCTTGCAGTCTCTTTAATTCTTTGAATCTCTTTTCCTCATCTAGATGATCTAATAACATAAAATAAAAAACTTTGATGCCCATGTCGATGATATGAGTACAGAGAATATCAAATTATAGTTTGAAGGATCATAAGAGTACCTAAACATATGTAGGTAAACCAACAACAATATACTTCAATCTTCACAATAAGTCTTGTCCTCGTTGTTTAGGACATCAGACTCATTTTCGATATTTATATTGTATAGTACTTTCTTTTGAACCACTGATTTTTCCACAACAGTAATCTGATACTTAATGTTGTATCACATTGAGGCTCCAGGTAGAGCAACTGATGCTTCAGATTTAAGTAGGCAGCCGGGGCCATCCTTTAAGATGTCTCACCTAGCCTTTGTTTTTTATTGGCAGCAAACATTTTTTCATTGAAGAAAAATTCGTCAAGTTCTGCAGGGAGCGGCTCCTCAGGTCTGGGATTGCGTTTGAACTTTATAGAGCCCTCTGTAATTATATAAAACCAAACATAAAATTAAAAACAACAATCTTGGCCAAACAAATAGTTCATCAGTACAGAAACCTTACCTAATTAATGTTGTATCCTTTTGTTTTTAAATTAACTTTACTTGACCTTGCGAAAATAGATCTTGAAACATTGGTAACTAAATGCAACGTCACTGTTTCAAGACACTTACATGGGTGCCAATTCAACAGAGGTTATTTTTTCAAAAGTGCCTCCATTAGGAGTCAAATCCATACCTACAGATTACTTTACCAAACCAACCCCCACCGACACAGCAGGGGAGGGGGCAACTGATATTTGGGATCAATTAAAATGTTGGGTGCAGGGACCAAGCCTGGGACTGGGACTGAAGATGTTTGGTAGGAATGCCAAATGTTTGAAAACAAAATTTACTTATTGTTCTAGTGACCTTGTGACCTGACCTTTTACCTGCAGTCTCAGCAGTCTTCATACATACATTTCTGTATAGTATTTTGCATGACTCAATCAACAATATTGAAGCAAGTTTCACATTCAATACGTTTTTGTTGTTGTTGAAAAAAAATCCAAAAATTCTAAAACAAAAAATAATTGCTGGGAAATCGATTCACATTGGATAATGCAATCGCTTTTCAGCAAGACAACCAGGGTTTGATTCCCCAATCAGATATGAACATGTATAAGTTCACTTGCCCAACCACTTGACATTACTCCAGTTTCCTCCAAAATGAATACCCCTTGTAAGCTACCATCCAGGCTAACAAGAGTGATCATTATAAGTTGGCAGAACTTGTGTCATTACTGTTGTAAAATAGATAGACTTTAATCTGAAGAAAAAAAACCTGAGTGTTTGACCTTTGACCTCTTTGCAAATATGAGATGTGCTGTAGCAACATGAACAGTATTTCATTGTTTTTACAAAAATTTGTAAAAAAAAAAGTTTCTGATTATATACGAATGTTCATTGTAGAAACCTATATTACCTACCTGGAAGGCCCTCTGTCTTTTCCTGTATCTCCGCTTTACTAGTAGTGTAGTGGAATTTGTTTTGTATCATGACATGCATCAGATAGCCCGTCTTCAGTTCCCTGAAATCATTCTTGATCTGTACCTGTACATGTTGTTTGTAATTCTCATTCATAGGCTTGTCCTTATCTTCAAATGTTGCACATGGATCTGGAAACTTTGACAGAAAATCCTTCAAATCAAAAGTCATATTTTCAATTCGTTCCCTTACCTTGGCCTTTGCCTTCTCCTTCATTACTTCTGTGTGTTTTGGGTAATCCTTGTTTTCAAACATGGCCCATGCAAGGTTTTTCACACGGTCCTTGTCATCTTGTCGTTTCTCCAACTCATCGTAAAGATATGTCGGGTCACAGTCTGGGAACACTTCCTTCAGATCATCAACCTCGTCCCCAATACTGTAAGCAATCCTGTTTCCTGTGGGGACCGAGTCATCCAATGAGCTTGTGTTGCTGCTCTCAATGCTGGGAGTGCTAGTGGTCGGCACAATTCTCATCAGCTCCTCAATCACCAACTGGATGCGATTTTTTTGATGACTGTGAGCCTCCAGGTAGGCATATATTTCATTTGGGTTCATATCAGGCAACACTTTAGCCACTATTCTCATGTCTCTGTACAGTGGGTCCCTCTGAAGGACAGGATCATCAGGTAGTGTGTCCAGCCTGGCCAGCCGAGTCACCGTTCGACCCTGTAAAAAGCTGATCACCAGGTCTACCCTGTTGGCCTGGTTTTCTCTTTCCTGTAACAACTTATATACTTCATTGGGGTTGGCCCCTGGCATAACTTCAATGACCTTCTTGATGTCTGCTGCAAAGTCTTCACGGGTGGTCAGCAGGGAACTATAATGCTTGGTCAGAAGTTGACTGACAACCCTGTCCACTCTGTCCACACGATCTCCCTCAGACAGTAACAACTGGTGAATCTCATTGGCTGATAGAGGCAAGGCGGCCATGTTTGCCATTGACTTGTCAATCACAGACACAAAATCCTCCATGAAGGTGGATGTTGTCTGTCCAAGCCGCTGTGGTGTTGAAGAGGCAGTTAGGGCATGTCCGGCCTCCTCCAGTATTTCATTCGTCACCAGGTCAACACGACCTGGGTTACTTCTGTTTTCCTTCAGTTTGTTATAGATCAAGTCAACATCAACCCCATCCACAATTCCTGCTATGAGTTCAGCATCTTGCAATACAGATGGAATTTTAGTTAGAGTTGGTACAGCCATTAAGTCATCATTTCCATTATCCTCAACAGTCTCATTTACTGTCTCTGACCTTGCTGTGACCTCCTGAACATCATCATTTTTATGCTCTGTCTCTCCCTCTAAATTATACTCTTGTGTACCACTGATGGTCGAATCCTCCACGACCTCTGACCTCTCTGTGACCTCATCAGTGCCATTATTTGTTTTGTTCTCTCCCTCTAAATTGTTCTCTTGTGTACCACTGACTGTATAATCCTCAACGACCCCTGACCTCTCTGTGACATCCTCAACATCATTAGTTTTATCCTCTACCTCACCTTCAAGATTATACTCTTGTGTACCATTCAAGGTAGAATTGTCCACGACTCCTGACCTATCTTCGACCTCCTCAGCTTCATTATTTTTACTCTCTATTTCCCCCTCCAGATTGTACTCCACTGTGTCTGAATGTTTCAGGCTATGTCCATCTCCATCAGCTGTGACCTGTGACCTCTGACCACTGCTTTCCTCATTCTCAAGTTTAGGACGTTTTGCCAGTGGTTCGTTGAAGGACTCCTCGGAGACTAACTCTGACTTAGTGTCGCCAATGTCCCACTCAGCTGCCATATTCTGTTTATCATTCACATGGAAACCTCACTGTGTAAGAAAACAACCTAGAAAGATATAACAAAAACAAAATTACTTGGTACTTCATTCTTTCATATTAATAGGAACACAATGACATATTAATTATTATTTGAAAGTATCAGCATATTATATTGAATAAAGGCATATTATTCTATGTTACGAATGCAGGATCTTACATGAATATTAAATAAATAAAAAATAAAAAAATGCGACAAGTTTAATTAATCTCATAAAATGGAAACGAATACAAGATTCTTTATGATCATTTGGTTTTTGTTTAGTTTTTATGTCCTATTAACAGCTATGATCATTTAAGTACGGACAACAGGTGAGCTAAAAATGCGACAAGTTTAATTAATCTCATAAAATGGAAACGAATACAAGATTCTTTATGATCATTTGGTTTTTGTTTAGTTTTTATGTCCTATTAACAGCTATGATCATTTAAGTACGGACAACAGGTGAGCTAAAAATGCGACAAGTTTAATTAATCTCATAAAATGGAAACGAATACAAGATTCTTTATGATCATTTGTTTTTTGTTTAGTTTTTATGTCCTATTAACAGCTATGATCATTTAAGTACGGACAAGGTTTTGGTTGTGGAGGAAAGATGGTGTGCCCAGAGAAAAACTACAGACCCACGGCCAGTACCTGGCGACTGCTCCACAAAGGTATCGAACCCGAGACCCAGTGGTGGACGGCTAGTGGTAGCAGAATGTCAGACGCCTTAACCACTTGGCAACCGCGACCCCCTTTTTTGTTTTGTTACAAATATTCAAATCAAAAACAAAAACTCTGGCGACATGAAATTCAAAATACAGACATTTCGACCCTAGTCTTTCTCTTTTGTGATGCATTATAATTGGATGTTTGTGATGACATGAGGTTGTGGAAGTTACAATTGAAACAATGGAAACCTTCAACCAATCACAGATCTCCTACATGATATTTGTAAACGTTTTCTTCAGGTTTGTAATAATTAGTATTAATGAATTGTGGAAAGTTTGTGTATCACAACCAGTGTTTATGGGCGACATGTCTTTGACGTGAGTATGGTACATGCTCTAGGTGTCATCTTCATCAGACAGACGACCAATGAATCAAAGCGTATGTACACAGAGGTATCAATTATGTACCAGCTGGCAATATAAAATCAAATGTTAATCTAGATATACTATAAGCGTATGTACTCTTAGTTGTTATACATGTACGAAAACTAGCTTCTGTCTAATACCTGGTCATAGATGTTCGGGGCGGCATTATAGCAAAATCATGTTATTGACAAGAATAACTCTGAAGTAGAGGAAAGAGAGAGCAATCTGTTCAAGCAGCAGATAAAAGAAGCCATCTGGATACGCGGCGGCAGTTAGTGATTTCGGCCAGTTCTGAACAGGGACGAGAGGGCTCATCTATAGACTCTCGTAAATCTTTGACCAGGTATTAAACAAAGCTTAGCCAAATCGAGTTTTTCTATTTAAATAATTTGATTAGACATTTTTTACATGTACAACAACTAAGTGTACAAACGCGTATAGTGTATCCGAATCGACATTTGATTAAATCATATTACCAACTGGTACATAGTTTACACCTTTGTGTACATACGCTTCACTGGTCATTTGTCTGATGAAGGTGACATGGTATGTACCGTACTAGTCATCAAAAAGTCACATATAAACACTTAATGGTTGTGATACATAACCTTTTTACAAATCTGCTACATGATGCAAGTGTTAACTGCTTAAATGTTTTACATGCATGAACTATATATTCATAATACAATTTATGTGTTTATAATGACACTGACAACAGAGTAGTTACATTGTATGTAATAAATCTGTAGTTATTACATTCACATTTTCTTACATTTTTGCTAGTGAAACATGAAATTCTATCAACTTGATAAAATTGATAATTTTCACACTGTGACAGATATCAAAAGTGATATTTTCACCTTTAAATATGAACTTTGATAACTGGTCAACTCATCGAATTCATATTTAACATTGAAACACAGCATATTAATGGCATGGGGTAAATGTACCTTCTATATATATATGAACTAGTTTTATTCAGAACAATGCTGCTCTACTCAATTTTAAAACAAATTAACAGGAATGTCACATCTTAATTGATGCAATCTGAACCGAAATGTATACGTACTGGCACGGGTGTTTTGAAATATAGCACTAGGCCTATCCACGGAATTAGATTAGATAAGTCCGTGGCCTATCTAATCACTTAATTACAAATGTATTTTTGAAACTGAATTTACCGAGAGAATTTCTAGCAATCATGGGTAGGAAGTATAATGCTCGTTATGCAAAAATTACCTCCGCCGCCGTTTTCCGCTCACTCATTCTTGGTATGACGGTCTTTATTTATCAAAATAAAACCTAAAGTTGCTTTTATCAGCAATTTTTAGGCTGGGTGGGCGGAGTCATAACAAGACCCAACAAGAAACTGCTGACGGTCAACCATATAAATATGTCGAAATACAACCAGTATGGCATAACACTACAGTATAACATCTATAATACAGATAAGTTAGTTATTATCAACACGACAACCAGTACATTAAAGCTCACCTGTAATGTGTTTACAACATAAAGTGAAACCAAGAAAGTACAGCTTATTAGAGTGGCGTCACACAGCTGCAGTGTCTCTCACTGGGACCGGGGCTGATGAGGACCGTCAAGATAGGATAACTCGTCCGGACTTCAAGCATGATATCTTACAGTTGTATATATTTTAAATATATTTTATAGTGTATACGGTCCTCAGCGGGGACCTCATGATCAGGGAATAACGTTGATGTTTTAAATATAATCATTTATGAACTAAAAAAGGGCCGTATTAATTGAGGAAATACGTAGAACTCCGACTTATAAGAATGGTTATATATATATATGCCGTATAGTCTATAACTATTGCTGTTAGCGTGTACGGTCCTAAGCATGGACATCATGATCAGGAAATCTTATCGTGAATTTTTCCGTAGCTGTTTATTAGATAAATCAAGTTTGCAAAGTTCACGGTCAAGAGTGGTGTCCTTATTTTTTTTAATTGAAAATATTTTACATCAACGACGAAATAATTTATACATAATTCTTACAGCGATACACGGTCCTGAGAGGAAATACGTACGTAGAACTCCGACTTATAAGAATGGTTATTTGCCGTATAGTCTATAACTATAGCTGTTACTGTATACGGTCCTGAGAAGGGACATCCTGATCAGGGAGCAAGTTCTCATTATATCGGTATTAATGGATCAAATAATACTAGCTAAGAGCTGAGTTATATGACTTGGAAATAAAAAAATAAATAAACTATGTTTATAGCATTTTATCTTTTAATTGCATATTATAGTGTATAAGGTCCTGAGCAGGGACATCATCATCAGGAAATCTGATGGTATTTTTGTCCGTATATATATTTATTTAATACATCAAGTTTGCAAAGTTCACGGTCAAGAGATGTCTCCTAATGATTTTGAAATGGAAAATTCATTACATCAACGATGAAATACTTTATACATACTTCTGATAGCATACACGGTCCTGGGCAGGGACAAAATAATCAGAAAATAACATATATTTTTTCCATAAGTATAAATCTCCCTGGATAATGTCAATGTAGATAGCAATGTATATGGTCTTTAAAATTGTCCTAGTGATGAAATAGAACCCCGTCTTATAAGAATGGTTATTTGCCGTGTAGTCTATAAGTATAGCACAAATGAAAATTATTTAAGTAGTTATTTACAGTATAACCTGTCTAAACCGGCCCCCTGTCTAATCCGGCCCCCTGTCTAAACCGGCTTTGATTTGTGGTCCCGGCATATTCCCTATATAATCATAGTATTAAACCCTGTATAAACCGGACCGTGTTCATTCCGAAAACCGGTGTTGTTTCACAAATGTTGGTATAGTTTCATGTAAAAACAACTTGTTTATTCCGGTCCTTAAATTTTTCTCGGCCGGCTGTAATCTAAAGCAAATACATTTTAAACAAAAAGGCGCTTTCCAATGTTGGGTTGCCCTTCATTTGTATTATAAACTGTATATTTTGTAAGTAATTAAACGTTGCAATTGATTCATTTCTCTGTTGTTTATGTTGAAACACTTGTATACAGATCGTATGCAAAAACACTACATTTTTTGTATTGTGTAAATATGACATGCCGACCCTGCATTAACCTTAGCAGGATGTCCCCGCTTAGGACCGTGTATGCTATAAGATGTATAATAAAAAAAAAATCATCCTTGATATAATGTATATATACATTTAGAAAACATTATGATGCATCTTTTGATCATGTTCAGTACTAGATTTACTTATGTGATGAATTACAACGGATACATTTAACATTTGATTTCCTGATCAGGTTGTCCCTGCTCAGGACCGCATATGTTATAAGATGTATGTATATGTATATATTGTTTCGTCATTCATGTAACCTATTTTGAATCGTAAAATCATTCGGACACATCTTTTGACTGTATTCAATGTTCACTTTACTGATATGATAAATAACAACGGATATATTTACAATTTGATTTCTTGATCAGGATGTCCCCACTCGGGACCGTGTATGTTATAAGATATTTATATTATGTTTTTAATCCTTGATATAATGTGTATATCCATTTAAAAACCATTATGATGTACGAGTTGTCCACAAAATCGATGTCGATTTCGGTTACGCTGTATTTCGAACTTCCAATCTTGAACTTTCCCTTTCTTGATAGTTATAGTGTACCCTGAACGTTTTGCCATATCAAGCTTTGAAATTACTTCATATAATATAATAAAAGGCTACGAAAGTGCGAACATCGTAGTTGACTCCGTTTCCGAGATATTGTGATTTATCTGAAAAAATACACCTAAATACACATTTGTGAGGCTCAGCAGCGATCACTTCGATATGGGTAGCCCACATCTGTGACGTCACAAGTTCAACGCTGTGCAGACAGCCTGCGGATGCTATCTAAATGAATACGTATTTTATATTGCCTATCAAGTGACTGTAAATATTATACTTTTTATTATTCAATTGATCCCTAGAAAATAATATTAACCCCTAAATACCAAATTATAGTCAAATTAACGTTAGCGTACCCCATCCCTTTCTTTACAATATGGAGCTATATGCACCGACACAATGATTTATACTCAAAATGAGTAGCAACCCGTGTATTTTCACCACCAGTTATAAAAACTTGAAACTTTTTTTTATTCTTTTTTGCAATCCAGAGAATTTAGCACATACTAAATATACACACTACTTTTAATAATCTTGCAGAGGGAGAAACTGTCCGTTCAAGTATCTCACTGAAGATAAGTAATCTATTAATTGAACCATCTGTAATCAGATATATAAAGTGCGTAACATGATCTACCATTGTTTGCTTTGTTTCAGACATTCATCTGTCGGGTTATGCAGTTGTACTGATTTTGGTGAATCTTTGACAGTATTTACGCATCATATTTATTTACGTTTTCTTGAAATTGATCCTTATTTATTTCCCCGTTATCTAGCCTGAGTACATTGTTGTTTAATAGAAAATTGGAAGACACATACTTCAGGTACCCCCTTGCCCACCTGCTGACATCCCTTTGATGTCACTTAAAAATTTGGACACAGGTATATAGGTGGTGTGTCTGGGGCCTCCTGCTGTCAGCACTGTACACAGGTGTATTTAGTGTTATTTACCTGCACACAAATTTCACACCTACGTAGCTACAGGCTAAGGGAGTGGATCGATATGATTTTCATTATTGAACCAAGACGTTACATTATAACTTATCACGGAATAAGATTATCTATTTAAGTCAGGCGCGTAGCTGCCACGTAAGCAAATAAGCAGTTGCATGCACATCAAAAAATCAAATATACTATTATATTTTTATTTATTTATTTATTTATTTTGTAGTTCGGAAAAGTGATTAAGTTGGCTCCACACTTTCGCAGTTAACCAGCAAAATTCGTTGAAACTTTCATACAATGGTTATGCAACTATGTAGAGTTGATTTTATGAAAATCTAAACATTCCGATAGTTTGGGGACTTTTTTGGAAAAAATACAAAAAAATGAATTTTCGTCAATTTTAATATTTTCCGGGTTTTTGTGTGTGTGGCATTGTTCGGAACAATAACAACAATAATAAAATGAAAAGAAGCATTTCTAATTAACCCTACAAATATTTGATTTATCGCAAAATATGTAACACATGTTACACAAAGTGTTTTTTATTGAATTTGTACAGATAAAAGTGATTATCTACAAGCTAAAAGCAAACAGGACACAAAGATCTATACAAATAGAATGGGAAATTGAACAAAATATACACAATGGCTTTATAATTTATTTATTTTACATTTTACAATCACTTTGATCCGGGTAAGAGTTATCTTCCTTGAACAAAATCGGAACTTTTTGCAGAGGGATGACATTTACACAATGACAGTTGTACACTTTGGACATCATTCCACTGTCCGCTAAATCACGGTATATTTATAATTACATGTCAGGAACATATGTGACCAGAGGCTATTGTATGGTATGCCGTTCTCACGTGCACTCACACATGCATTTCATAGGTATCTTGATATTTATTTTCACAGAGTAAGTAAACTACATTTGTAAGCAAGATTTAATCGACAGAGCGAAACTCCCTCAACAGCGAAAATCGTAACGACCTCGAGCTTATGAACTCGTGTAAGCACGTGAGGTCGGTACGTTCGCATTCCATGTGTTTCCTATATAACCTTCTTGAGATCGTCTGGTCTCATATCACTGTCTTCCCGTGAGTCTGTTTATGTCTATGAATTGGAAAGCTTTATTCCTAAAGTACGTGTGATTATACATTTCCCGGTAAAATCTCGATATCGGGTGTTAACATATCATCGGCACACACGTATACTATTGTTAACCCTGGGGCTGTTCTATGGCAAGCCAAGTTGTCATTTATGCATGGAGCAATGTTGATCCAGTGCTTAACCAAATTATATAAGATATCTTATTTAATTATATAAGATATCTTATATACTTTATGAGATATCTTATATACTTTATAAGATATCTCATATAATAAATGAGATATCTTATATATTTTATAAGATATNTAATTTTGCACTACGATATTGAATGCCCGATACGCAATACGGAAAAAACGACACGGTGTACATGCACATTTCGAACAAGATAATTGAGTCCGAGCTGTACTTTTTCCGGAAGTACGTCACGAAAATGGACGCTGATGACGATGTGTGGAGCCAACTTAAATGATGTGTGGTTCAATTGAAAAATATATCAAATTTAACTGTATAACTGACAGCCGACAATCAGTACGTATCCGGAAGTTCCAACCAGGGGTACCTGGTGCCGATTTTATTATTAGTATTTTTAAAGTTGTCAACATCGGAAACATGGCTGCAAAGCCAACGAAAAACCCGCAGCATCTTCGAAGAACAAGTTGATACATGACTTCTTCCAAGCAGCTGTAGGTTCACATGAAACAACATCCTCTTGCGACATGAACTTAGACATCGACGAGTCTAAAACGGCTATTAGTATTAGGGCCTAGTAATATATGCCGGACCGACCGAACACAGTTCTGATCAGTCTGACTGTCGTTACCCCTGATATCGGGAATACAAC